GGGGACTGGAGCTGCAGTCCCGGCATGGGGACTGGAGCTGCAGTCCCGGCTTGGGGACTGGAGCTGCAGTCCCGGCGTGGGGACTGGAGCTGCACTCCCGGCGTGGGGACTGGAGCTGCAGTCCTGGCTTGGGGACTGGGGCTGCAGTCCTGGCTTGGGGACTAGAGCTGCAGTACTGGCGTGGGGACTGGAGCTGCAGTCCCGGCATGGGGACTGGAGCTGCAGTCCCGGCGTGGGGACTGGAGCTGCAGTCCCGGCGTGGGGACTGGAGGCGCATGCAGTCCTGGCGTGGGGACTGGAGCTGCAGTCCCGGCGTGGGGACTGGAGCTGCAGTCCCGGCGTGGGGACTGGAGCTGCAGTCCCGGTGTGGGGACTGGAGCTGCAGTCCCGGCGTGGGGACTGGAGGTGCATGCAGTCCCGGCGTGGGGACTGGAGCTGCAGTCCCGGCGTGGGGACTGGAGCTGCAGTCCCGGCGTGGGGACTGGAGCTGCAGTCCCGGCTTGGGGACTGGAGCTGCAGTCCCGGCTTGGGGACTGGAGCTGCAGTCCCGGCGTGGGGACTGGAGCTGCAGTCCTGGCGTGGGGACTGGAGCTGCAGTCCCGGCGTGGGGACTGGAGCTGCAGTCCCGGCGTGGGGACTGGAGCTGCAGTCCCGGCTTGGGGACTGGAGCTGCAGTCCCGGCGTGGGGACTGGAGCTGCAGTCCTGGCGTGGGGACTGGAGCTGCAGTCCCGGCGTGGGGACTGGAGCTGCAGTCCCGGCTTGGGGACTGGAGCTGCAGTCCCGGCTTGGGGACTGGAGCTGCAGTCCCGGCATGGGGACTGGAGCTGCAGTCCCGGCTTGGGGACTGGAGCTGCAGTCCCGGCGTGGGTACTGGAGCTGCAGTCCCGGCGTGGGGACTGGAGCTGCAGTCCCGGCTTGGGGACTGGAGCTGCAGTCCCGGCGTGGGGACTGGAGCTGCAGTCCCGGCGTGGGGACTGGAGCTGCAGTCCCGGCGTGGGGACTGGAGCTGCAGTCCCGGCTTGGGGACTGGAGCTGCAGTCCCGGCTTGGGGACTGGAGCTGCAGTCCCGGCTTGGGGACTGGAGCTGCAGTCCCGGCGTGGGGACTGGAGCTGCAGTCCCGGCGTGGGGACTGGAGCTGCAGTCCCGGCGTGGGGACTGGAGCTGCAGTCCCGGCGTGGGGACTGGAGCTGCAGTCCCGGCGTGGGGACTGGAGCTGCAGTCCCAGCGTGGGAACTGGAGGTGCAGTCCCGGCTTGGGGACTGGAGCTGCAGTCCTGGCTTGGGGACTAGAGCTGCAGTACCGGCGTGGGGACTGGAGCTGCAGTCCCGGCGTGGGGACTGGAGCTGCAGTCCCGGCGTGGGGACTGGAGCTGCAGTCCCGGCTTGGGGACTGGAGCTGCAGTCCCGGCGTGGGGACTGGAGCTGCAGTCCCGGCTTGGGGACTGGAGCTGCAGTCCCGGCGTGGGGACTGGAGGTGCATGCAGTCCCGGCGTGGGGACTGGAGCTGCAGTCCCGGCTTGGGGACTGGAGCTGCAGTCCCGGCTTGGGGACTGGAGCTGCAGTCCCGGCGTGGGGACTGGAGCTGCAGTCCCGGCGTGGGGACTGGAGCTGCAGTCCCGGCGTGGGGACTGGAGCTGCAGTCCCGGCGTGGGGACTGGAGCTGCAGTCCCGGCTTGGGGACTGGAGCTGCAGTCCCGGCTTGGGGACTGGAGCTGCAGTCCCGGCATGGGGACTGGAGCTGCAGTCCCGGCTTGGGGACTGGAGCTGCAGTCCCGGCGTGGGGACTGGAGCTGCAGTCCCGGCGTGGGGACTGGAGCTGCAGTCCTGGCTTGGGGACTGGGGCTGCAGTCCTGGCTTGGGGACTAGAGCTGCAGTACTGGCGTGGGGACTGGAGCTGCAGTCCCGGCATGGGGACTGGAGCTGCAGTCCCGGCGTGGGGACTGGAGCTGCAGTCCCGGCGTGGGGACTGGAGGCGCATGCAGTCCCGGCGTGGGGACTGGAGCTGCAGTCCCGGCGTGGGGACTGGAGCTGCAGTCCCGGCGTGGGGACTGGAGCTGCAGTCCCGGTGTGGGGACTGGAGCTGCAGTCCCGGCGTGGGGACTGGAGGTGCATGCAGTCCCGGCGTGGGGACTGGAGCTGCAGTCCCGGCGTGGGGACTGGAGCTGCAGTCCCGGCGTGGGGACTGGAGCTGCAGTCCCGGCTTGGGGACTGGAGCTGCAGTCCCGGCTTGGGGACTGGAGCTGCAGTCCCGGCGTGGGGACTGGAGCTGCAGTCCTGGCGTGGGGACTGGAGCTGCAGTCCCGGCGTGGGGACTGGAGCTGCAGTCCCGGCGTGGGGACTGGAGCTGCAGTCCCGGCTTGGGGACTGGAGCTGCAGTCCCGGCGTGGGGACTGGAGCTGCAGTCCTGGCGTGGGGACTGGAGCTGCAGTCCCGGCGTGGGGACTGGAGCTGCAGTCCCGGCTTGGGGACTGGAGCTGCAGTCCCGGCTTGGGGACTGGAGCTGCAGTCCCGGCATGGGGACTGGAGCTGCAGTCCCGGCTTGGGGACTGGAGCTGCAGTCCCGGCGTGGGGACTGGAGCTGCAGTCCCGGCGTGGGGACTGGAGCTGCAGTCCCGGCTTGGGGACTGGAGCTGCAGTCCCGGCGTGGGGACTGGAGCTGCAGTCCCGGCGTGGGGACTGGAGCTGCAGTCCCGGCGTGGGGACTGGAGCTGCAGTCCCGGCTTGGGGACTGGAGCTGCAGTCCCGGCTTGGGGACTGGAGCTGCAGTCCCGGCTTGGGGACTGGAGCTGCAGTCCCGGCGTGGGGACTGGAGCTGCAGTCCCGGCGTGGGGACTGGAGCTGCAGTCCCGGCGTGGGGACTGGAGCTGCAGTCCCGGCGTGGGGACTGGAGCTGCAGTCCCGGCGTGGGAACTGGAGGTGCAGTCCCGGCCTGGGGACTGGAGCTGCAGTCCTGGCTTGGGGACTGGAGCTGCAGTACTGGCGTGGGGACTAGAGCTGCAGTCCCGGCGTGGGGACTGGAGCTGCAGTCCCGGCGTGGGGACTGGAGCTGCAGTCCCGGCTTGGGGACTGGAGCTGCAGTCCCGGCGTGGGGACTGGAGCTGCAGTCCCGGCTTGGGGACTGGAGCTGCAGTCCCGGCGTGGGGACTGGAGGTGCATGCAGTCCCGGCGTGGGGACTGGAGCTGCAGTCCCGGCTTGGGGACTGGAGCTGCAGTCCCGGCTTGGGGACTGGAGCTGCAGTCCCGGCGTGGGGACTGGAGCTGCAGTCCCGGCGTGGGGACTGGAGCTGCAGTCCCGGCGTGGGGACTGGAGCTGCAGTCCCGGCGTGGGGACTGGAGCTGCAGTCCCGGCTTGGGGACTGGAGCTGCAGTCCCGGCTTGGGGACTGGAGCTGCAGTCCCGGCATGGGGACTGGAGCTGCAGTCCCGGCTTGGGGACTGGAGCTGCAGTCCCGGCGTGGGGACTGGAGCTGCAGTCCCGGCGTGGGGACTGGAGCTGCAGTCCTGGCTTGGGGACTGGGGCTGCAGTCCTGGCTTGGGGACTAGAGCTGCAGTACTGGCGTGGGGACTGGAGCTGCAGTCCCGGCATGGGGACTGGAGCTGCAGTCCCGGCGTGGGGACTGGAGCTGCAGTCCCGGCGTGGGGACTGGAGGCGCATGCAGTCCCGGCGTGGGGACTGGAGCTGCAGTCCCGGCGTGGGGACTGGAGCTGCAGTCCCGGCGTGGGGACTGGAGCTGCAGTCCCGGTGTGGGGACTGGAGCTGCAGTCCCGGCGTGGGGACTGGAGGTGCATGCAGTCCCGGCGTGGGGACTGGAGCTGCAGTCCCGGCGTGGGGACTGGAGCTGCAGTCCCGGCGTGGGGACTGGAGCTGCAGTCCCGGCTTGGGGACTGGAGCTGCAGTCCCGGCTTGGGGACTGGAGCTGCAGTCCCGGCGTGGGGACTGGAGCTGCAGTCCTGGCGTGGGGACTGGAGCTGCAGTCCCGGCGTGGGGACTGGAGCTGCAGTCCCGGCGTGGGGACTGGAGCTGCAGTCCCGGCTTGGGGACTGGAGCTGCAGTCCCGGCGTGGGGACTGGAGCTGCAGTCCTGGCGTGGGGACTGGAGCTGCAGTCCCGGCGTGGGGACTGGAGCTGCAGTCCCGGCTTGGTGACTGGAGCTGCAGTCCCGGCTTGGGGACTGGAGCTGCAGTCCCGGCATGGGGACTGGAGCTGCAGTCCCGGCTTGGGGACTGGAGCTGCAGTCCCGGCGTGGGGACTGGAGCTGCAGTCCCGGCGTGGGGACTGGAGCTGCAGTCCCGGCTTGGGGACTGGAGCTGCAGTCCCGGCGTGGGGACTGGAGCTGCAGTCCCGGCGTGGGGACTGGAGCTGCAGTCCCGGCGTGGGGACTGGAGCTGCAGTCCCGGCTTGGGGACTGGAGCTGCAGTCCCGGCTTGGGGACTGGAGCTGCAGTCCCGGCTTGGGGACTGGAGCTGCAGTCCCGGCGTGGGGACTGGAGCTGCAGTCCCGGCGTGGGGACTGGAGCTGCAGTCCCGGCGTGGGGACTGGAGCTGCAGTCCCGGCTTGGGGACTGGAGCTGCAGTCCCGGCGTGGGGACTGGAGCTGCAGTCCCAGCTTGGGGACTGGAGCTGCAGTCCCAGCGTGGGGACTGGAGCTTTAGACCCGGCTTGGGGAGTGGAGCTGCAGTCGCGGCTTGGGGACTGGAGCTGCAGTCCGGGCGTGGGGACTGGAGCTGCAGACCCGGCTTGGGGACTGGAGCTGCAATCCCGGCTTGGGGACTGGAGCTGCAGTCCTGGCGTGGGGACAGGACTGAGAGAGCACAGGGCTGTGCTTTGTGATGAAACAACCTTTAACGAGTCCATCCGCGACGGCACAATCAAGCACCAGCGCCAAGGAGGCAGCTGGTTGTAACTCACGTCCAGGACATAAGGAATGGGATGCACTCATTCTCACCGCACACAACTGTTTCTCACCACACAATATTCCTTCTCACCACACGTGACTCCTTCTCACCGCACACAACTCCTCCTCACCGCCGCCTCGCTGTCACTCACCTGCAGGGACGCGCATGCAGCTAGTGGCGCCAGGGAAGCCTCTCCCAGCTGGTTGTAGCTCACGTCTAGCACCTGGGGTGGGTGTGGTGCACGCCCCGTGCTGACTCCTTCTCACCGCACTCAAATCCTCCTCACCGTTGTCTGTCACTCACCTGCAGGGACGCGCATGCAGCTAGTGGCGCCAGGGAAGCCTCTCCCAGCTGGTTGTAGCTCACGTCTAGCACCTGGGGTGGTGGAGGAGGGGGGGAGATTGGCGAGAAGGGAGAGGTGGAAGAGTGAGGTCAGCTGGCTGTAGATCAGGTCTAGCACCTGGGGAGGTGGAGGGGGAAGGGGGCGGTGGGGGGATGGCGGGCCGCGGGGGGGGAGATTGGAGAGAATGGAGAGGTGGAACAGAAAGGTCAGCTGGCTGCAGCTCACGTCTAGGGCCCGGTGGGGGAGATGGGGTTGAAGGGGAGGGTTTGAAGCGGGGATGGGGAGAGAGGAGGGAGAGCACGCACGGGGCTGAGTTGTGGCTCATGGTTAGCACCTTTTTTTACTTTTTTTACCAGCTTTGACCTTGTTGACTCACCTTGACCGGCGTTGACTCACCTTGACCGGCGTTGACTCACCTTGACCGGCGTTGACTCACCTTGACCAGCGTTGTCTCTCCTTGACCTTTTTTAGTCGCTCGATGCCGTCCATTGTTGTGAGCTTCCTTTGAACTCACTGGCCTTGACTCGCTTTGAGCTTGCTTTGACCAGCGTTGACTCACCTTGACCAGCGTTGACTCACCTTGACCTTCTTGAGACGCTCGATGCCGTCCATTGCTGTCAGCTTGTTGCCCCTCAGATACACAAACTGTGACATGGATGCACGCATGCATGCACACATGGATGAAAGCACACATGCACATATGTATGCACACAGTCGCACACACACACACACACACACACACACACACACACACGCACACACACATGCACGCACACACACGCACACAGACATGCACACGCAGACGTTAGCAAACGGGAGTACGAATAAGGGCACACAAGCAGAATCAGAAGCGCAGGGGCATCAACAGGCATGCGACCCCATGAGGCACGCACACCCACACAGTCTATAGCGCCTGCCTCAGCCGCGGTGAGCCCACTGCCCCACACCTGAGCAGCACCTGAGCAGCACCTGAGCAGCACCTGCCACAAGCCCACCTGAGCAGCAGGCGGCAGGTGCAGCGTATCTGCCTTGAGGCTTCTGATGCGCTGCGACCGCAGGTCCACCCGCTGGTGATTTGAGGGGAGGTGGGATCGGGGGGGGTTACATGGGTGACGGGGAAGGGGGAATGCGGATGACGTGTGTGTGCAGGTGCAGCGTGTGGGAATTGAGTCTTGTGATGCGCTGCGACCGCAGGTCCACGCGCTGGTAGGGGGGAGTTGAGGGATGGGGATGAGGGGGGAGGGGGAAGGAGAAGAGGAGGGAGGAGGAGAAGAGGACTGAGGGGGGGCGCTTGTGATGCGCTGCGAGCACACGCTGAAGAAGGGGACTGAGGGATGGGGATGAGAGGGGAGGGGGGAGGAGAGGAGAAGGACGACGGCACATGTGTGTGCAGGTGCAGCGTGTGGGCCTTGAGGCTTCTGATGCGCTGCGAGCGCAGGTCAATGTGCTGGAAAGGGGAGATGGGATGGGGGGGGTTACATGGGTGATGGGGAAGGGGGAATGTGTGCAGGTGCAGCATGTTGGCCTTGCGGCTTCTAATGCGCTGCGAACACAGGTCAATGTGCCGGAGAGGGGAGGCAGAGGGGGTTGGGGAAAAGAGGAGGCAGGATGTCATCTCTGCCACCCACCGTGTCATCTCTGCCACCCACCGTGTCATCTCTGCCACCCACCGTGTCATCTCTGCCACCCACCGTGTCATCTCTGCCACCCACCGTGTCATCTGTGCCGCGCACATCAGGACCCGGCATCACCCGCAGCTCTCTAGGCGACACTCTTGCCCTGCCACCCAAGCTCCCTCCCCCTCCTCCTCCTCCTCGTCCTGGTGATGATACTGGCATTGATGCTCCCGTTGCTGCTGGTGATGATGCTCCTCTTGACCCTGCCAGTGATGATAACCGTGATGGTGATGGTAATGGTGACGGTGATAGCAATGATGGTACTGGAGACGCTGGTTGTTGTGATGGCTTGCTTGGTGATGCTGATGCTGATGCTGCTGCAGCGGATGACACTACAGCTGCTGGTGTGACAGCAGGTGCTGTCACAAGGCTGTGCATGCTGGGAATCGCGTTAGGCATCGCAGCACTGGCTTCTGCTGCTTGCGTTGACCTCTCTGCTGTCTTTAGCGAGTCTGTCTTGCCGCCTTCCTCCTCCTCCTCCTTCTCCCATCCCTCCGCTACTTGGTCTTGATCTCTTGTCCCCGCCTGCTTGTCACCCCTAATCTCCTGCAGAGTCATCCCTTCATCCTCTTCTCTTTCCTCCACCACGCTTTCGTCCACCTCTCTTCCCTCCTCTGTTCTCTCCTCCCTTTCCTCCTCTCTTCCCTCATCTCTCCCCACCTCCAACTCCACACTTCCTACCCTATCTACAGCACTCACAGTGTCACCCATTCGATCACTGCCGGCAACAGCAGCATTGGATTCACCACCACCACCAGCAGCAGCAGCAGCAGCAGCAGAAGTGAAGGTGCTGGTGGTGTTGACCACATCAGGGGAGGGATCAGATGATGAGGATGCACTGTTGACAGCAGGGGAAACGCCCTGCATACCCTCATAAATGCCAGGAGGAACCCCAGCAGCAGTCAGTGGGGGATCACAAGGCGCGGGCGTTGGGGCAACGACAGGGCTGCTGGAGACAGAGGGGTATGCAGAGGCAGGTGCAGAACCCAAGGCAGAGGCAGAGGCAAATTGAGAGTGAGACGACTTTTGAGGCGCCTCAAAAGCAGTCAGTGGGGGATCGCAAGGGGCAGGCGTTGGGGCAACGACTGGGCTGCTGGAAACAGAGGGGTGTGCAGAGACAGGCGCGGAACCCGAGGTAGAGGCAGAAGCAGAGTGAGACGCAGATTGAGATGCAGAGGTACTGTTGCTCCCTGTACCCATGCTCCTACACGTGCCAGCCCCAGCAACAGCAGCTGCAGTGGCAGCGGCAGCAGCAGGTGTTGCGCGAGTGGCAGAGGCAGCAACAGGGGCAGCAGTAGGGGCGGTGAAAGTGGGGGAGGAGGTGAGGGAGGCGAGGTGGGAGCGGAGGTTGGCGGCTCGCCTGGAAAGAGAGGCGGCAGTGGGAGCAGCGACAGAGCTTGACGGGGGGGAATATGACGAGGCAGCCGCGTTGAAGCTCACACTGCTGCCAAAGGCTATCCGCCTGCGGGCACTCGCATTTGCACTCGCATTTCCTCCTGCCACTGACGCTGATGCTGCAAGTGATGGGGATGCGAATGCCGCTGTTGAGCCTACACGACTAGGGCTTATTCGTCCCCCACCCCCGCCCCCACTGCCTGCTCTCTCACCTACTCGTCCCCCGCCAACACCTCCTGCTCTCTCTTCCGCCTTCCCCCCTGCTGCGCCATTTCGTCTCAAAGGACTTCCCCCGGCCCTCCCTGCTGCGCCACTCACACCCGCCCTATCCGCCCCCTCGAATCTCCCCCCTGCCTTCCCCCCTGCTGTTCCTGGCGCTGCATCCCTCCTTCCACTCGGACTCCCCACGCGCCCACTCCCCTTCCCTGCAACCACTGCTCTCTCCGCACTTTGCCCCACAGTTCCCCGCACTCCCCCCAAAGCTCCCCCCTGCACTCTCCCTTGCGCTCCCCCTTGCACTCCCCCTTGCGCCCCCCCCAGCGCCCCTGCCCTTCCCCTGATGCCCAACCACCCGGGATCACTCCACCTCCCAGTCACAGCAATGCTATGCCGGTCCAGGGATAAAGAACCCAAACCCCCCATCCCCCCGCCCCCTGCTTTCCTGCCCGCTAGCTCTGGGCTGTAACTGCTGGTCAGCGGGCCAATCCCGCTCGCCCAATCCGGTCGTTTAATGCTGCCCAAGCTGCCCGGACTGCCTCTCCTGGCAGGGCTGTCGGACTTGCCTCTGCTGCCCGGACTGCCCGTGTTTGCCCTCCTTCGCTCCTCTGAAGGCGACCGGCCAACCACCCCCTGCGCCCCTCTTGTTCCGCCTCCTCCGCTTCCCCCTCCCCCTGGTGCTATCCCCCTGGTGCCAGGGCCTGAGCGTGTGGGGGAGGCGAAGGCAGCGGAAGGGCGAGGGCTCTGCTGGCGGACTGACATCCGCCCCGATCCCCCTTCTACCCTTCCCCCTGCCCCTCCCCCTCCTCCCGCTCCCCCCGCCTCGCCCGTCTGTATCCGCGCCCCCACTCCACTTCCCACCTGCGCCTTTCCAATCACTGCTCTCCCCTTGTCACTTGGTTTACCGCCACCAATACCGCTCCCGCTACCCCTATCGCTCACACTCGCTACAAAGCTCCCACTCCCACCATTACTCCCCATGCCACTCCTCTTTATGTCCTTCAAACCGACCCTAATCTCCCCCGACCTATTCACTGCGCTGCTCTCCTCACTACCACTCTTTCCTTGCCCTCGTCTCCCCTCGTCTGCATCCGTTGCACCATTGGCCTCCCTCACACCTTCCGCAGGTTCCTTCCCCACCCACTCGCCGCTCCCGTTTGCCAATCCCCCGGCGGACGTTTCTTCTGGCGCTAAATCGGGCGCGAGTGAACTCACTGACGGCCCTGTTGACTCAGCACTCTGCTCCTCCCTATGCGGCGCCAATTCAGGCGCCACTGCCGCTACATGCGTTCCATCTGCTGTGTCCTCCCTTCTGCCACCCACGTCGCCAGCCCCGCTCTGCTCCGCGCAGACTTCCAACTGCGCAGCTACCCTCACGCTCTGCTCCCCGGCGTCGCGCAACCCGTTGGCTCGCGCAAAATTGAGCTGGAACTGCCTCCCCTCGTCCGCGGCGCTTAGACTGACAGCTCCGCCGTCTATGCCGCCTGCGGATCGCAAAGCCTCCTCGTTTCCAGGTCGATCAGAACTTTCACTATTCCCGTTATAGTCTAGCGAGCCGTTAAGGTTTGACGCGCCGTTGGCCTGCGGCGTGCGATTTGTCCCCGCGCCGTTGCTCGCATCGCTACTTTGGCCGTCTCTTCCGGCGACACCACTAGTGAAACCGCCGCTAACGGCGGTGCTCTCGAGGTTGCTCGTAGTAAGGTCGTCGTCTCGAATGGCGGTACCGTTAAGGTCAGTGAGAAGATCGCCGCCTCGAATGGCGGCGGTACTCCCGAGGTCAGTGAGAAGATCGTCGTCTGAGAGCTGACCCGCATCGTCGAACGCCGGGCCGAGACTCCATCGCTTTCCCTCGTTGTCTGAATCTAACTCCCAGTCGGCTTCCATGTTAAGGTTATACGTACTTCACCATGCTATGTTACAACTGAAAATGGGCCTGGCATTTTCAAGGGATGGTGTTGAGCAATTTTCAAGGAGGTTTATAAACTCGAGGGAGTTCGTGCAATTTTCAAGGGCCCCGGTCAGCCCCGCAGCACACCCTTGGCTCTGTCGGTTTTCCGTACGATGTGCGGGCAGATTTATGAATGAGAGCGCCAATGAATTGACGAAACCTGTCACGAACTTACCATCTCAGGTGGCAAAAACTGACCGTAAGCACATAACCGAAAAAATGCTCTGGGGAGGTTGCAGAATGGCAATATTTCGGTTGAAACTGGCTCATTGTTGGGAGTAGAACAATGGGTACCAATATGCTGCATAGCCTTGCGTAGTAGCAAAGCCTTTATCACTTGTGTCGCATGGAGTTATCGTGCACATGTAAAATGTTATGTCGGGTACGCGGACCTGATACAAGTTTGACTGCAACTCTCGCATCTCGCCGTTCGTATTGCCACGCGGGAAGCATCTGTTGCCAATGACTGAACCCGGGGCGCTGAAGAGAGTGCTCAGAGCCGTGCAGCCAGCTGAGCATTCCCAAGGCGCCTAAATTCGCGCGGGAAGTTCCTTGGTGCGAGCATTGTACGCTTGACCAGCGCTCCGCACTGTGGTCCCAAGCTCAGCCCAGACCAGCACGCGCCACGCTGGGACTGGTGGTTCGGGGTTTGGCGCAGTCGGGCACGCAAAACCTGCTTCGGAGGAACCGCGTGAAGCTGGCTGTCTCGGTTTTGGACCTCGTGTGGTTCCTCGAACCTCGATTTTCCGAACCTCCGTGTCGTTCTAATTAACCAATCAAGTGGGTATGGTCTCCGACTGCGATCGGAAAGAACATTGCTCTTCTCGAGAACATCAGGCGTGTGTGGTGGCGGTGAGAGCGCGCTCAGGAGACTGGCAGGGAATCATCGAGCGTGCTCAATGGTTCTCTATGGTTCTGTACGTTCAAAAGCATTGTAGTAGAAAATAAAGCGGTTAAGTAGACGCCAGTGATGGCAGGAAATTAAGGGAGATTGTGGTCACTTGTCATTAGGAGCTGAGAGCTTCTGTTGAAGGACGTCTTGTTCCTTGCTTTCGATAGTGTCATTTGATTCTACGCATGCTGTAGCGTGTTGCTGTTGCTGGCCTCTTTCAGAAGGCAACTAGTTGGCGGTAGTCGCTTTACACGTGAATGTTTTATCCACTAGCTGTGGTTGAAAGAACACTCGATCGATCGCAATCCAGTAACTATTCGAGCCGAACTAAGCGAAGCCACCGCTGCGCGGCTTCCCTTGTGCCAACGTTTCCCCTACTGCAGTGCCATTAGAAATGTCTCAGTGTCTCCTACATTTATTGTGAACTTAGAAGCTACTCTAGTCTAATCCTCTAGTTATTTGTCGCGATTTGAATCAAGGACGCAATGAAGCCGGAAAGATCGCTGTGTTGCGATTGGCTGTCGTGCTCACTGGGGTGGGTATGGAACCACCCGCGAATGAAGAATTTCCGCAAGGTCGCCTACAACTTCAAGATGACGCTCGTCTGCGGCTTCATCACCTTCCTCGTCTTCCGCGGCACCTTCGGCGCCGGCAAGTTCGGCACGCCGTTTCAGGATGCCGAGATTCTCAACCGCGAGCTCCGGTCCTTCCAAGAGAAGGGCCTCCTCAAGGTTCGTGTCGGTCGTATTGCGAAGCGACTGCTTGTTCAAGATCCTGTGAAGCGCGTTCTGAAAATACACGATCGCGGGATAGAGTATTGATGTCGACCGGAGAAGCTTTTGAGACTCGTCTTAGGAATCGATGTCGCGTGGTGCGTGTTTCATTCTCTTAAAGAGGGGCGTGTGGAGGCGCGGCGTGGATGAATGGCTACGATAGTGTGCTGAACTCTCATGGATCGACGGTTGCGACTAGGAAATTTCCCCTCATGATTCCACGGCTTAGATTTTTGCGTTTAACTTTCGTGGACTGACAGAAGATTCGGCCCGTTCCCTTCTTCGTCTTGCGCATTCATCCTAGTGAAACGAATCGCACCGCTGATTGACTCGGGTTTCGTCAGATCGCTATCGCTGGTCGTTACGGATGCAATCACGGACACCCATCCTGCGATTTGAAGTGTAGGACAACGGCGATAGCTAAGCGCATGTCTATCCTGAGATTATTGATTTGGGATCTATTACCCATGGGTTCTTGTAGTTGTAAGCGTAACAGTAGCAGCCTCTCGTAAAGCCTTTTGTTTTTCTTCCGTAACAGAAGCAGCCTCTCCCATTCTTACGAGCCAGTTCTCTCGCCCCTTTCCGCTCATAGTGCCCTGTAGCAACAGCCCCTGCATAGCCCACAGTATACTTGGACCTCATGTTTTCACGAACGGATTCGTTCTTCTGGGCAGATTTTGCAGTTTTACCGCCTGTCAAATCGCCATGCACTCTTTCTAGCTCGATCGATAACCGAACCGTTGGGCGGGTTGAAGTGATCGGACTCTATTCGTGCTTTCCGGCATTGCCAGTCATGGGAATAGATGCGCGCATCGACGACTACTCGTCCTTTCTCCCCGCGATCCACCCGTCACTTGCTTGCGATGCCTCCCGTCCTCTGGTCCCTTTTTGCCATTTCCGCCGTCTCTCCTTGTCCACCTCATTCCCTCACGTCTAATTTTCTCCCGTTCCCGCGTTGGATTCTCTGCGCTGCTGCAGCACCGAAATCTCCGAGTCCTCTCAAATGTCCATTTTCTTGTCCCCCGCCCCCCGCTGCCACGTGGCAGTCGCGGGAGAGCCAGCTGCTCTTCCTGCAGGACAAGATGACGGACCGCAATTCGCCGTACCGCGCCGGGCCCAACATCACAGGTATGGCCGTCACTCCCGGCTGGCTACTGCTGTAACTTGTAGAAAGAGTATATGTGCCGAACTTCCCTTGCCTAAATGCTCTAACCCCAATCTTCCTTTCCCGTTCGATACCCCGCCTCTCTCCTAACCAACTCGCGTCTTGTTTCCGCGTTCTCCCCTCCCTCCCCTTCCCCCCTCCCCCCCCCCATCCCTCTCCCCCCCGCCCCTTTTCCCGCCTCCGCGACGCTTCCTCACCCGTTTCCACCCCCCACTCTTTCCTGACCGCTCCTTCTCTTTGGCCTCCCCGCTCGCTCCGTAGAGATCAGAAGCGCGCCGAGTGCATAACGTTCCCCATTCCGTCTTAAAACCCTCACGATCCGTCCCCCTCCCTCCCTCCTTCCCCCCCTCCTCCCCCCGTTTCCCCCTTCCCCGTCCCCATTCCTCCATTTCTGCCCGCGCTTCTCCCCTCCCCCCCCCCCTCCTCCCCGCTCCCCCTTCACAGACTGGGACGAGCAGCGCGCGGAGCACATAGCCTTGAATCCCGGGTGCAACTCCACCAGTGACGGGCGGCCACGTGTCATGATCGTGTCGACTTCCCAGCCGAAGCCGTGCGAGCACAGCGTGGGCGACCACTTCCAGCTCTTGTTCCTTAAATCGAAGCTGGACTATGCGCGTACGCACGGCATGGTGGTATACCACCACATGGTCCGGCTGGACAAGGAGATGAACGGCATGTGGGAGAAGCTGCCGCTGCTGCGCCGGCTCATGCTCGCGCACCCCGATATAGAGTGGTTCTGGTGGATCGACTCGGACTCCATTATAACGGGTACGGTGGGTCGTGGGCGGCAAGGGAACGGGTTGGGGGGAGGGGGAGGGAGTGGGGAAGCGGGTAGAGGGAGTTTCCGAAAGTGAGAGGGAAGGGGATGGAGGGAGTTTCCGGGAAACAGGCGCTTGCGGGTTACCAGGAAAGGGTGACACGGCGATGCAGACGTGCGCGCAAACAGACTTCAAGTTTGAGGTGCCATGCGCATGCGCAAGGACATGAGCAAAGCATCGCTTCCGCTGACCTCATTCCTCCCGCCAATCCCTCCCGTTGCCTCTCCTTCTCCCTTTCCCCCACTCTCTCCTCCTCCACCCCCACCCCCTCCCCCTCCCCCCTCCCCCTCCCTCTCGCCCTCGCCCTCGCCCTCGCCCTCCCCTTCCCCCTCCCCCCTGTGCGCGCAGACATGAAGTTCGAGCTGCCATGGCGCAAGTACAAGGATGTGAGCATGGTGGTGCCGGGGTGGGACGACCTCGTGTACAAGCACCGCGACTGGTGAGTGTCGTTTAAAGGAAGAGGTTGAGAGCACTGCGGCTGGTGCGTCGCTTAGGGGCAGAGGGATAGAGCGCCGCGAGTGGCGAGGTGGCGCAAGTACAAGGGCGTGAGCATGGTGGTGCCGGGGTGGGACAACCTCGTGTATAAGCACCGCGACTGGTGAGCGAAGGAAGTGGCGGAGAGAGCGGAGGATGGGTGCGCGCAAAAATTGGTGCGCGCAGAGTAGCAGAGTGAGGAGAGAGAGCGGGGGAGTTCGTTGCGGTTTCCACTAGGCGGCTTTATCGTTCGCTCATATGTAACCTCTCACCCTCCTCGCATTGCCCCTGCCTGTGCCCCCCTCCACCTTCCCCCGTCCCCCCGTACCACAGGGTGGGCCTCAGCACCGGAAGCTTCCTCCTGCGCAACAACCAGGTGAGCGCCCCCCCTTTTCTGCCCCTCGCCCTGCATATCTCTCTCACCTTGCCCTGCCCCTCCCCCTCCGTTTCCCCTGCTACTCCCGTTTCTGCGGCCTGTTATGTGGCCTGTTACTCACTGGAAAGAGCAGCTCGCGATGTAGCTCACGATGCAGCTCACGATGCAGCTCGCGATGCAGCTCGCGATGCAGCTCGCGATGCAGCTCGCGATGCAGCTCACGATGCAGCTCGCGATGCAGCTCACGATGTCTTTGTGTCTCACGTCATCGCGAGCTGCTCTTTGCTTATATCGCGCTCATCTTATGCTCTCATCTACTTCTCTTTCGCCCTCTCCCCCTACTCTCTCCCCTCCTGTGCAGTGGTCTCTTGATCTGCTCGCCAAGTGGGCCGCCATGGGCGCAATTCCCCCTGCATCACCCCCACCATCTCCCCCTCCCCGCCCTCCCCTTTCCCCCGTTCTCCCCCTTCCACCCTTTCCCCCCCTGCAGTGGTCGCTGGATCTGCTCGCCAAGTGGGCCGCCATGGGCGCGAGGGGCAGAGCCAGGGAGGAGGCGGGCAGAGTGCTGACGGCGCAGCTCAAGGTGAGCTTCTAAGGCGGGTGGCACAGTGCACGTATGTGATGCTCGGGGTGCGTTGAGGCGAGAGTTGAGGGCGCAGTGTTCTACTCATCTCTCTCATCTCTGTCATCTCTCTCTCATCTCTCTCACATCTTTCTTTTTCATCGCTATCTTCTCTCCCAATGTCGGCCTGAGTTTGAGGCAGATGATCAGTCAGCACTGGTGTGGCTGCTGGTGTGCCAACACAGTGTTCTCCTCCCTTACCCATGCCCTCTCCCTCTCTTATCTCCCCCTTCACCTCTCCCAGGCCGGCCTGAATTTGAGGCAGACGATCAGTCGGCGCTGGTGTTGTTGCTGCTGTGCCAGCAACAGTTTCTTCTCTTACCCCATGCCCTCTCTCTCCCTCTCTCATCTCTCTCATCTCTCTCTCATCTCTCTCATCTCTCTCTCATCTCTCTCTCATCTCTCTCATCTCTCTCTTCACCTCTCCCAGGGCCGGCCAGAGTTTGAGGCGGACGATCAGTCGGCGCTGGTGTGGCTGCTGGTGAGCGGGAGGGAGCGGTGGGGCAGGCACGTGCACCTGGAGAGCAAGTTCTACCTGCACGGCTACTGGGTCAACCTGGTCAACAGGTGCGTTGACCTGGTCAACGGGGGGTCAACGGGGTCAATAGGGTGAGCGGGAGGGAGCGGTGGGGCAGCCAAGTGCACCTGGAGAGCAAGTTCTACCTGCACGGCTACTGGGTCAACCTGGTCAACAGGTGCGTTGGCAGCATGGGGTGGAAGGAGGGGGGGGTCGCCATGTTCCGTTTGTTTCTCCTCACCCGTTCTCCTTTTCCTTTGTCGTTCCTCCCCTTCCCCAGGTTCGAGGAGATGATGGAGCGGTTCCATGCTGGCTTCGGCGACGACCGGTGGCCGTTCCATCTCTCTTATTCCTCCACTCGTTATGCTCATTTCCGCCTTCGCAAATCCCCTCGTCTCTCCCCCAGGTTCGAGGAGATGATGGAGCGGTTCCATGCTGGCTTCGGCGACGACCGGTGGCCGTTCAACTTCTCGTTTTCATCCACCCATCACCCTTGTCTCCCCTCTTGCCCTTGATTCTCTCTCCCCCAGGTTTGAGGAGATGATGGAGCGGTTCCATGCCGGCTTCGGTGACGACCGGTGGCCGTTTGTGACCCACTTCGTGGGATGCAAGCCGTGCGGCAGCATGGGCGAGTACGACGCGGCCAAGTGCCTCGTGCACATGAAGCGCGCGTTTGTGTTCGCCGACAACCAGGTGATCAAGCCGTACGGGTTCACTCACTTGCACCTGAACAGCAGCGTTGTGGTTCCGCTGGTGAATGTGACGACCCGGGCGTGGATAGCTGAGACGCATTATGAGAGGAAGCAGCAGCAGGTGGCGGAGAAGAGGAAGAAGCAGGCTGAGGAGAAGGAGAGGTTGGAGCAAGAGGCGAAGAGAATGGCTGAGGAGCAGGAGAAGTGGCGGGAGGAGGAGGAGACGAGGAGGAAGGAGGAGGAGGCGTGGCGGGAGAAGGAGGATGAGAGGCAGAGGAAGATTGAGGAGGGGAAGAGGGTGGAAGAGGCAAAGAGGGCTGCTGAGAAAGAGGCTAAGAAGAAGAAGAAGCAGGAGGGGCAGGAGGGGCAGGCAGGGAAGGTTCGGAAGGTTGCAGTGGGAGGGGCGGGACAAGGAAAGAATGGTGCAAAGGGAGCGGCGGCTGTTACTGTGAAGAATGTGACTGTACCGATTGGGAAGAAGGGTATTCCGGAGATTATAGTGGATGAGGATGAGGAGGAGGAGGAGGATGAGGAGGAGGAGAGTGTGCAGGACAGGAGGAAGATTGGGCTGACTAAGGCTGTTATGAGGCAGCAGCGAGCTGCTATGGCCCGCGCTGTGGTTGCTGCTAGCGCTGAGGACGAGGAGGAGCGGGAGGAGGAGGAGAGAGGGGGTGTGGAGAAGGGGGATGAGAAGGGGAGTGAGAAGGGGAGTGGGGAGGGGAGTGGGGAGGGGAGTGAGGAGGAGAGTGAGGAGAGTGGAAGGGAGAAGGGGTTGGGGGTAGCAGGTGCTGGGAGGAAACCGGAGAAGGAAGAGGAGGGTGAGGATGAGGAGGAGGCGGAAGAGGAGAGGTTGGACAGGGAGAGGGAGAGGAGAACGAGTGTGAAGCTTGATGCTAGTGATGAGACTAGTGCAGCAAAGGAGGGTAGTGAGGAGAATGAGGAGGGAGATGAGAAGGGACGTAGTGAGAAGGGTGTTGGTTTGAGATCAGTGCTTGAGGATAGGGAGGAGGCACAGGAGGGAGATGGTGCAACAGCAGAGGAAGCAGAGGAGAAGGTGGGATTGAGCAATGAGGAGGAGAGGGGTGGTTTGAGAGGTGAGGATGAAGGAGAGGAGAGGGGAGGTGAGGAGGTTGATGATGTGGAGTGATATGCCGATTGCGTGACCTGTGAAGTTGGATGTGTGATGTGAGCGGTGCTTGATAGCTCGCCTGCCGCAGAGCAAGTAGATGCTTAGTCAGGGGCAGTAGGCAGCAGGCCACAGCCCAGCAGCGCAAGAAGGCCTCAGGTGGAAGGTTGACTGTTGCTGTGTAGAGGTAGGAGATTAGCGTAGTGTTTTGCCCTACCAAGCACCAATGCCACAAAAGTGGATGTTGCCTCTGTTTCGCTGATAATAAACATGTAGAGGTATTTATTTGCGCTTTTATATTTATATCTAGCCGAAGCCTGCTGTGATAGCCATCTTGATGTAGTTGGACACAAAAAACTACCATTCAGTGCGGCTGTGGTGGTGGTGCTGTGATGGTCGCCTTTTATTGAAGTAATGGAGATTCAAGCACACACCTTGTCCATTTATCGGATCGTTTGCGGATATCATTGAGGACATTTTCCTATGCGTGAAATCTTATAACGAGAGTGGCTTTCTGCCGGTCACGATGCTCCTGATCTGAGTCTTTCGAGCCCAGCTTTGACTGGTGCTTGCGTGTTTGTGACGTGGAAGTGATGGGTTGGTCTGAGATAGACAGCCGCAGAAGGAGATTCTTGATTCTAAAATGCGGTAGAATCTTCGGCGCTGTTCTTTTGGCCAAAAATTGGACTTCGCGGATTCTTCCATCCGCACCAGTGGTGCGTCGGTTCAGGTTGGGCATTGTCCGAAGCTGGGCGCATCAAGAAAACCGAGAAACCTGCAGAACAGCACTTTTGTGACACTGTACCAGAACCGCCCGTTTGTTCCACACCATTTCCTCTTCAGGCAAATGGTCCGCACCACGGGTTCTACCTCTCGAGGTGGAATCACCTCCGCACCACTGGTGCGGGGCAGAAACCATCAGCCCAATTTTTTGCTCGTGGTAGGCTTGAACGCCCAACACTTGACCGCGATCAAATTTCAAGAAAATCTTCTCACGTTCTTGCTGCTCGATACTCATATCTCAGGCTGATCAAGAAATCCTTATCAGGTTACCCTAGGTTCTCATTTCACCAGACCGTGTTCAAAAGGGCAGACCCGAGTTGGCTGAGCTGTTCAATCGAGAAGTTTACACCTCAACGTGTACGAAATTTACCAACCCTCCAACGGTGCGGCGATGAGAACTCCAACAGAACAGCGCCTTCATGTTGAGGCAGACACTTCTTTGCCGTGTCACACCACCTTCGACGACGGGTGCTAGCTCCAAGTATCTTGGAGTCCAGTCTCACCGTCAATGTAGAAAACTCTTGTGCGTGCCCAGCAAATGTGGAATTTTGGCCGATTGGTGCAAGTGTACACGAGAATGAGTTTGCGCAATCGTTTGTTGTTCCTGCTGGGTTTTTGTTTGCAATCAAGACCTCAGATCAAGATGCCCCGAAATGTTTTAAAGTTAACGATGAAACTGCATGCTGCTTTTCCAGGCGTGCAGATGTCTTTTATCAGCCGTTCACTGCTGGTCTCACGTTCAACCGTATTGGTCGACCGTACGTGACCTGGGCATGCCTCCTGTAAATGAGTGGACTGGATGCATTCGAGGTCACAGCCACCCCTGACCATTCACTTTAGATAATAAATTCACTACCAAACAAAATGAACAACTTTCTTGTGAAATTTGTGGCTGGAATGTGGATTCGATCACCAGCATGCAGCAAGGACCTTTTGCGCCTCGAAAGCTTGAGGCCATCGAAATGTCTATTCTTGGAGCACAAGATTCGACCTGCCCCCACCACTAATTCCACCTCAGGAAGCTCGTCTGCCATGCTCTCTGCCGTCGATACACTATGAGAGACTCCGTCCGACATAAAAGCATTCTTCCGCGGTTCGGTTCTGGGCTGCAGCAGCCTGCCCAGATATCCACCGCCACTGAACGATCCGATTTTCGCTTTGTGGCTGCCAACGTTCCACCGCGCCTCTCACCCGCATGGCTTCAATGTCCTGTCCTGGGTACACCAGGAGTCGGTTCACGAGTGCCCTGAAAATTGTCCAGGCGTTGTTCACGCGACGTGAAGGTATGCTCCCGATACGGTTCAATAGTGAAGGTGGAACTGATGGTGTGTAGTTCAGTCCTGGATTAAAAAAATCAGTTGACGCTGAGCTAAAAGTCGATTCTCATTCGCCCGTTGATATCATCGACTTGTGCGGCCACCATCAACTCAAAGCTGCTAAAAGTCGATTCCCATTCGCCCGTTGATAACTCCACGGACCTTTGGGCGACCTCTCCCTTCCACACAATATGCCACACTCGTTCCTGCCCCATTCTATCTCACCCTATCGTCAATCCCATCTTATCTCTCATCACCCCGCGTTCTATCCTGTAACCTGTGGCGGTACCTCGGCCGTATGCGATTCCATTGAACGGTTACCATTGGAAGCGAGCTGGCTGGACTCTGTGTACCCAATCTCACTGTCTCGTTCAAAGCATGGCTAGCCGCACAGCCTACCCCTCCACGTCGCCTCGCCCAACCCGGCCCAGAGAACTCACTGAACCGCCAGCTCGTTCCTCTGTTCTTTCCATCATCGTTCACCAACCAACTCTTCCCGCTTACAAGTATCACTCTCATGCCATTAACCAGTCGATTTCTATCATAGTTCCTCAGTTGTTTGTCAGCCACCCTCACAACGGCTTTATTCACGTGACCGATAACCGCTTATCCAACTGACTATCATAGTAACGCATAGGCTAGTTTCTTTCCTCGCAATAGCGTTTCACCTCGCCTGTGGCGCGCAGCAACCATGCCGAAGCCGTGCGAAGCGTGTCAATTGAGCGCGGCTTTAATCTTCTGCAGAGCCGACTCGGCGTATCTCTGTCTAGCGTGCGACGGCAAGGTGCATGGCGCGAACAAGCTCGCCTCTCGCCACGAGCGAGTGTGGGTCTGCGAAGTTTGCGAAATGTCGCCGGCCGCGGTAACCTGCAAAGCCGACGCTGCGGCTCTTTGTGCGACGTGCGACGCCGACATTCACGAGGCGAACCCACTCGCGAATCGCCACGAGCGCGTTCCCGTCGTCCCGTTCTACGAGTGCCCTTCGTCGATCAAAAGCTGTAAACCGGCCTGCGTACAGCCCGCCGCGTTCCTTGGCGCAAATGACGCCGCAGAGTTCGCGTCGCCTTCTGAGGAGCACGAGGAGCTCATTTCGAGTCAAGGACAAGCGCTGCCGCAACCAACGGCGGCAAACGCGGCCGTCTCAAGGAGAGGACTGGAGGAGGAGGTAGAGGAAGAGGAAGAGGAGGAAGAGGAAGAGGAGAGGCCGAACACGGAGGCGGGTGGTCGAAACGCTAATTGGCTCTACCCCCTCCACTCCCACCTCTACCCTCACCACTCAGCCGCTTCTGCTGCACCGCGAATGCTCCCGCCGCACATGCCGCCGCACATGCCGCCGTATATGGCGCCGTATATGGCGCAGCATATGCAAATGGCTGGCTCTGTTCCTCCGCGGCCCATGGTACCGTCGCCTTACTTCCCCTACGCGCACCTCCCGCCGCACATGCAGCCGCAAATGCCGCTCCACATGCCACCGCACATGTCGCCGCACATGCCGCCGCATTATCCGGCCTCCCCGCATGTCCCCTCGACGCTTCCCCTCCTCCACCGTCCGACACACGTTGCGCAACCTCCGGCTACTAAATATCCCAAAACGGAGTCCGCTGACGTTTCAGATCTCCTGTTTGACGTGGATCCGTTCCTCGACCTCGAGCAGTACGGCGGCGGCGACCGCAGCGCGACGCCCGTCGACGGGAAACTTGCCTCGGCGAAACCGCCCACGCAATATGCGGCCCTTTCGGCGGCGGCAAAGAAAACGGTGAAAGAGAGCATGGTGGTGCCAGTGCAATCCCAAGACGAAGGCGCTTCGGCAGTGGCTGGCCGGCGGGAATGCTCCCCTTCCCTCTACTCCTCCCCGTCCTTCTCCGTCTCCTCTCAAACCGACACGCACCTCGTTCCTAGCAGCAGGCAGGCCGCCGACTCCGCCGCAACCGCCGCCGCGTTCGACGCCAGTGCCACGTCGTCATCCCGCGCGGGTCACCCCGCAGCGGAAAGCCCCGTCGTTCTGCGCGCCTCCTCGTCCCTCCCCTCCGCGTCGTCGTCGCTCCCCTCCGCTTCCCCCTTCTCCCCGTCGACGTTCTCAAGCCCCGGCCCTCTCCACCCGCTTGCGCGCGAGGCTCGCGTGATGCGGTACAGGGAGAAGCGCAAGGCGCGGCGGTTCGAGAAGACGATCCGCTACGCGTCGCGGAAGGCGTACGCGGAGAGCCGCCCGCGCGTGAAAGGGCGATTCGCGAAGCGGACCGAGATGGCAGAGGGCGGCGCGGGCTCACCTGCTGCTTTCGAAGTAGCAGTCAACGCAGTCAACGGGGTCAACGGAGTGGATGCGTGTGGGAGCTATGAGGACGTGGAAGGGGAGCAGTTTAAAATGGAGGAGGGGGTCGCGTGCGACCTTGACTTTGCACTCGCTGACGCTCCCTTCACTATGATCCCCGCTTTCCTTTGAAAAATCTGGTAACGTTGGCTGGCTTGCGAGTGCGACTGGCTTGGAGAGTGCAGTTTATCCGTGCTGCATCCACCGCAAGGTGCATCGTGATTGGATATGGTATGGCTGGAAGGTGCTTGAAACTATTTTTCCCCACCCATACTGTTTGCAACTGTAGGAGTGGGGCTAGACTTACCTTATGTTTTGCCATTTGGTTTTAGCCTAAGGGCTCTAGGTGCTGTTCATAATAAGCTGTACACTGTTTATCGTTCATTTGGTATACTTCAATGACTAACCACAACGTGAGAAGTTGCACCCTAGTCCAAACAGCAAGATGGGGTTATTGACCTACGGAATGCATCCTCATAAGGCAAGCAGGACGCTGCCAGTCCCTCCCTCCACCCTCTGCACTGGCCATCACCAGACAGGCCTTGCACCAGACGGGCCTTGCACCAGACGATGCTGGTATGTACCGGTATGCAGCCTCCTAGGCAGGACGATGCTGTCCCTTCCCCCATTCAGTGCGCTGGCTGGCCTGCACCAGATGGGCCTTGCACCTGCGGCCTGCCTGCTGCTGTCAGTGAACTCTCCATGGTTGCACCTGCGGCCTGCCTGCTGCTGTCTGCAGCTGCCAGTGAACTCTTGAAGGTCATCACAAGCGCACACAGGATGCTTCACCTATGCTTCACGCATACAAATTCAGTTCAGTGTCGACAAAGCTGCAGACCAGATTGGAGTGGGATGTGGCTTTGGCCCCGTTCAAGAACAGCCTTGTAAATACAGAATCGTCGAGTCAATATTAGGTATAAATACGAGTGTATCATGCATTACATTATGAATGGGGAGTGCGGTACAAAGGCAAGCATTTCTCACCTACCAATAGCACCGCAAGCACATCAAGTCCTAGAACCACCCCGGCTACTCCTGCCTGCTATCCACACATATCAGTATTAAGACGATGCTGCCCCCGCACTCAAGTCAGTCAGACTGGAGCTCAAAGCTACCCTGAATCCCACCCACCCACCCATCCATCCAGGTGCATCGGCAGGACAGTTTTCACCTCCGCCTGCCCGGAAATGTCAAGTCGATTCAGCAGTGCGCCGCCCATACTGCCACAACCTATCTACTTTGCTGCCAGTTGGTCTGAGAAGGGCCAAAGTAGATAGGTTGTGGCATTTGCGTCGACCTGAAAGTGTTCAAGATGCATCACTACTAGGGTGCATCACTTATAAGGTGCATCACCCCACCTGGCGAGAGACAGGGACACTAGCCTACGCGCGCCAGGGGAAGCAGACGGTGGGCTTGAGGGAGTCCTTGTCACCCGCCTTCAGGGTCTGGGGCAGGATGACCGTATCCACCCCGTGCACCTGCATCACGTCCCCCGGAGAGCCTTCACTCCTCCTACGCGCGCCAGGGGAAGCACACGGTGGGCTTGAGGGAGTCCTTATCGCCCGCCTTCAGGCTCTGGGGCAGAATTACCGTGTCCACCCCGTGCACCTGCATCACTCGCAGCGAGATGACGTCAGGAGCCACTACGGAAGCTTCCTCCGGGACGTACAGGGCCTGCAGCTGGACCGGGTCGGCGCCGGCAGCTGAGACCTTCACCAGGCGAGCCTTGCACCCGTCGGATGCCGCCTTGAACTGCACAGGGTGTGAGGAGGAAAAAACACAAGGTTGCGAGGGATTGGGTGCGGTGGAAGGACATCAATACCATCATGACATTGGGCGTGTTCAGAGCGGAAAGAACGGGTCGAGTTGTTTCCGAGCATCGGTGCGGTGGAAGTATATCACTGCCTCATGATGCCTGCGAATGGAAGAAAAATGTAAAACGCGCCGCAATTGGGCCGCTTGAGCCCAGCCCGCCCACCATATAGTGAAACTACGATGCATCACCTGCTTGTCCTGCGGCGGCGCCTTGAGCGCAGCGGCGTTCTTTTCTTTCTGCACCACGTGCAGCAGCAGCTCCTCGCGCAGCATCCAAAGTCGCGTTTTTCGCGTCGTCCGGGAGCGCCACGCGCAGCACCACTTCAAACACCACATGACCAATTCCAACACCACAACACCGCTTCAAATTACCGTTCCTCACCTGCTTGTCCTGAGGGAGGGCCTTGAGCGCGGCGGCAGGCATTTTCTTCTGCACCACGTGCAGCAGCAGCACCTCGCGCAGAACCTTGGCATTCGAAGTCGCGTTCTTCGCGTGGTCCGGGAGCGCCGCGAACGCGTCGTCGTTCGGCGCGAAGAACGTCGCCTCGTAGCAGTTGATTAGGTCCTTCAGGTCCTTGTTAAGACCTGAACGGAGTGCAATTAGGAAGGGAAACATACAGAAGAGCGAGATGAGTAGGAGAAGATTATGGCAGTGAGGAACGAACGCGTCGTCGCTGGGCGCGAAGAACGTCGCCTCGCAGCAGTTGATGAGGTCCTTGAGGTCCTTGGAAAGACCTGCAAGGTTTGAAATACAGGGAGAGCATGGGGAAGTGAGAGGCAGAGGCGGCGTCGTCGTTGGGCGCGAAGAACGTCGCCTCGTAGCAGTTAGTGAGGCCCTTAAGATCCTTGGATAGACCTGGAAGGTCGTGTGACAGGGTGTGACAGGGAGAGGGTGGCAGGGGAGAGGGTGAGACACTGCACAATCTGCGGTACGGTTGGTTTGAGATCGGCGAAACTCGAGAGGCGCGAAAGTGCGGGACGAGATGTTAAGCCGCCGAATCGAATCTACAACCGCCACAATAAATCTGCAGCCGCCAAACAAAATTTGCAGCAGCTGAATCAAATCTACAAACGCCAAACTGAATTTGCGGCCGCCACCTCTGCGTCCCAGAATACAAGGATATCTATAGGCGAGGCGGCTAAGGCGAAAAGGGTAGCTACCAGCTTCGAACTCTCAGAGACTCTTTCCGCCACCGCTCTTCTCACCTGTTTTCTTGAGCGCGGAGACTAAGGTGGAATAGTTCCCAGCCTTCGTGAGCCCAGTCACGAGATTTTTCACCACGAGTTTCCCGGAGAAGCGGCAGTACGGTTTCACAGCCGCCGAGGCTGGGCGAGAAAATCCAACGACAGCTACCACCAGCAGAACAACGACGAACGACACTCGGGTTGCCATTATTAGAGGTTTAGGGTCGCCGGATTTTGGCGGAATCGATGCGGGAGGATTTCGAGTCAATTCACGGCGCTCGAAAAATCGTATTTCTGCGTGGAACGGTGGTAAACGAGAAAGCGTAAGAGTAGAAACCAAGGGGCGACTGAAGGGGAGCGAATGCGGGACTATCTATTTGCTAGGGAATGATGAGGTGAGGAACCAACAACAACAGAACGAATTTATGCAATTCTCGATGATGGTATCGTCGAACATTGGCAAATTGCAATTCAGGATGCGGTTCGAGCGGGGAAGAATGCGTTTTGGTTGAAGCGGTTCGCTCGCACGAAACAACTTCCGCCCCTGCTCCCACCCACCCCAGCACATACTAGGAATCTGTGCAAAAAAAAAAAAAGGCGCCGTCAAGTAATAAGATGACCGTCAATGAAGTATGCCCAGCCGTCAATACTCTGGTCGGCGCGTTCCGCCTGGTTTGTTTCAATAACGGAGAAACCAAGCGCGTCGGCAAAAAAAATTGGAGGCGGGAATATTTAGCACATTGCGCAATTGTTGCCAGCAAGAGCTCCAACAAAGCAAAATGTTTGCGGTAAAGAAAGCAACCCGATCAGCATACCATACTCCAGGCGTTGAAGAACACAGTAACCCGTATTCTCCCGGATAAAACACCTGCCGTAATTGTACACCCCCGGGTAGCTTATACGGGGTGGGTGTTATATCCGACCCCGTTAGTACTATACCCCCCCCTTTTGGGGTTATTCTCTATAACACCCCCCTTTTCTTATAGATTCCTAATATAGCTGTTATCGAGTCTGATTCCTTACGGGAGGATATCGCGAGAATCACTCCCTGGAAGAAATTTTGCATGAACTTTCACTTAGAATCAGCCGAGATATCCCCCCTCCCACAATCTCGTTGTCGCCACGCTGGCGAATCTTCCACTACAAGTGGTCCAAGAGGTGAAGTCGCCCAAGTGGCCCACACAATATCCTCGTACTCGGTTTTGCGGCATTGATCAGCAATCTTGAAGTGAAGTCAGACCCCTTATTTTGTTTCACAACTTTTTTGCTTTGCAAAAAATATACTACCATATAATAAGACCCGGCTATTATGTAGGATTTTCCTTTGAGGAGACCCCCCCCCATTTTTTTCGAGTGGTTTTCATAATACCCTAGGGTATTTTATCCGGGAGAATACGGAAATAACTGCGAGAATCATGATTTAGAACGAAGGAAAGGTCCATCCTTCTCAACAAGAACGTGTTTACAGCAAAAATGGGGCGACAGTAGTCACAGCGTTTTTTTAATCGAGCAGGTGCTTCACCACCTCGTAAAAAGTGACCACAATTCCACGTGATGGGCAAGTCAGACCCCTTATTTTGTTTCACAACTTTTTTGCTTTATAAAAAATATACCATATAACAAGACCCGGGTATTATGTAGGATTTTCCTTTGAGGAGACCCCCCCCATTTTTTTCCAGTGGTTTTCATAATACCCTAGGGTATTTTATCCGGGAGAATACGGAAATAACTGCGAGAATCATGATTTAGAACGAAGGAAAGGTCCATCCTTCTCAACAAGAACGTGTTTACAGCAAAAATGGGGCGACAGTAGTCACAGCGTTTTTTTAATTGAGCAGGTGCTTCACCACCTCGTAAAAAGTGACCACAATTCCACATGATGGGCCAGCTCTCAACACTCTAGGACCAGCCCCGGCAAATAATGATTTCATCCCTCCCTCCCTGCATTGGCAACACAAACACACGAGGCATGGATACACCAGTTATACCGTGCGGCAAAAAAACACACAAACAGAAAATCAGACAACAAACTTCTGGGACATTATTCCTCCCTCCCACCCCCCCTCCTCCGCTGCTCACCTCCACAGATGCTGCAGTGTTGAGCTGAGCACCCGACACCTGGATCTGCCTCCTCGTCTTAGCCACATCCAGCGGGTGAGTCGCTGCTGCTGCCACGCTCCAGCGCACCCACACCGCACACAGCCCAACCCAGCCCTACCACAGCCCTACCACAACCCTACCACAACCCTACCACACCCCTTCTCACCTCCAGAGATGCTGCAGCGTCTGAGCAGTGTTCAGCTGAGTTCCTGTTACTTGAATCTGCCTCCTCGTCTTGGCCACATCCAGAGGGTGAGTCACTGCTGCTGCTACACTCCCCGCCACCATCCCTGCCGCGAAATTCGCCCCCACCACCTGCAGCAGCGGCAGCTGCTGAGCCTCCTCCGCAGCCTCAATAAGCGAATGAGAATACACCTCACTGCCAGTACCAGCACCAGCACCAGCACCACCACCAGCACCAGCACCAGCACCACCACCAGTACCAGCACCAGCACCAGCACCACCCTGAACCCACTCCTGCCTGTCCCGCTGTTTCTGCTCCCACCGGTCAGCAGATCTACTGAGCAGGTAACGCCGGGTGGGCTCCAATAGACCCCAGCAGATGGCTGAGAACGGCACGTCACGGGCCAATTGCGCGTCAACACCTGTCCACAGCGCGCGCAGCCCTTGAGTGCCTGAATGCGGCTGCAGAATCGTCCGCAGCGTCGCTAGCGTGCCAGGCCTTGACCCACCCACTACCCCTCCCCCACCCAAGCTTCCTGCGGCTCCTGCTCCTGCCCCTCCTCCTGCTCCTGCTGCTGCTGCTGCTGCTGCTGCTGCTGCTGCTGCTGCTGCTATGCCACTGGTGATCCTACCACCCCCACTGCCCCCAACCCTGCCCCCACCACTGGTCTCTGTGCCTGCATGCGAGTCCTTGCAAGCTCCAATGGCGCGCAGCTGACACAAGCCAGTGCACGCGCCACCGACCCTGCGATCAACGGCACATACGCCTCCGGCACAGCGCGATCCTGGCCGTTGATCGGCATCGCTGCGAGCTCGATCTTGAGGATATCGTACACAGGGAGATAGATCCCAACCGTTGGTACAGCCATGAGGAGAGAGGCGCCCGTGCCACGCCACAAGCGCAAAGCCCCTTCCTCTCGCACTATCCGAGAGAACACGTCCCATGTGTTGCGGTATGGGTGGTGGTTGTGTTGGGGGAGATGGTGGTGGGGCTGGTGATGCTGATACGGCTGCTGGTGCTGGTTCGGCAGCAGATGGGTTACATTTGCATGAATGCTCCCATGCCCATGCCCATGCCCGTGTGTGAACCCATTGCCGTGGGTACTTCCACTACCGGCAGCCACTCCGCCATGCACATGCCCGTACAATCCCGCCACGTCACAACAGACAGACATTGCCGCCCGCCGTAAATCCCCAGGGCCGTGCATATGCCCGCCCCGGGCCAGAACGGCGGCCGCGGCAGCGGGGGCGGAAGCGCCTGTAGCGGCTACAGCCGGGAACGCTACAGCCGGGAAAAAAACGGCAGATGGGAAGAGGGCGCGGTGGAGGGAGCAGAAGGCGGCGGGGGAGGGGGCGGAGGCGGCTGTAGCGGCTACAGCCGAATGGAAGGCTGGATGGCGCGAGCAGAACTTGGTGGGGCGGCAGCAGGCAGAGGCTGTAGCAGCAGAGGCTGGAGCAGCAGCGGCTGTAGCGGCGGTGGATGTAGCAGAAGAGACTGTAGCAGCAGCGGACACTGTAGCAGCAGTGGCTGCAGAAGCGGCTGTAGCGGCAGCGGCGGCTGAGCCTGACGGAGCTGCGGATGTGACTGTAGCGGCGAGGGAGGGGTAGAGCGCACGACATGTGATTGCGGCGGGGGAGGTGGAAGCGAGTGGCAACGGGCGGGCGGGGGCGCGGGGAGATGCGGACGCTGTTTGCGCCTGCAGCCGCGTCTAATGAAGCAGGGGAGGGGGGAGGACGGGCGGGGGAGTGGCGCAAGGGGGAATGTGGTTTGCATGGGCGTTGAGAATGGGAGGGGGAGGGGGGAGGCGAAGAGCGAGGCAAAGAGGACGAGAAAGACGATAGACATGAGAATTATCTGAATAAAAAACAAAACCGATTTACTTTATGGATGCTCCGCTACCAGCAACAGCATAGCTACACTACCAGCGTACCTTAACGACGTCCAGCGGGTTCATAATAACGGCCGACACCACAGCTGCGGCACCCGCCGCCAAAGCTTTCTCCCGTAACCCCAGATCGCCCTCGGGCTTCGTTGCACCCCCTGCACCCGCTTCGGACGCGGGTCGCAGAGGCCACTACAGGCCGGCCCCCCTGTCGAAGCAACTGGAATGCCTGCCGCAGTCGACAATTGCACCGCTGAACCGTCGGGGTTTAATCTGCTGACGTCAGCCGCCGCGGCAGCACCGTTTGAGCTACTTACGCAGCTAGATCCGGCACTGGCATCGGCACGGCCCCGCGCACCGGCAATTTCGTCGTTCCGTGCGACGTCGCACGCGCAGCCTGCGACGTCGCCAGGCGTGGCCACGTGTCCTGTCGCCACCGGTGCCAAACACGAGCTTGAATGAACAGTTGTCGATGCGGCAGGTGATCTGTTACGAACCGTGACTGGCGGTGACGCGACGGTGGCAGCGGGTGCGGAAAAGGCGGCGGGAGATGCGGTGGTATTAGTGGAGGAGGCGGCGGTGGGGATCATGATGGCAGTCCGGTGAAACTGTTGGTGAAATCCTCTGAACCCTTGATGCCAACGATCCTACGGCGGAGAAATGTTGAATCAAGAAAGGTCAAAATGTCGTGCACGTGAGCGAGCGGATGACAGAGCAGACACGCGGAATCAGACGCGTGCGAGAGGCAGCGCGGGAGGCTTAGTGTACTCGCTCCGCGCCAGGGACACGTACGTGCGTACGCCAATCCTACTGCCTCATCAATTGACGGAGCTCACAGCGAATGAGAGCAAAGAGAAAGCCAATCCGTGGCCTGCAGTGCGGAACGCACAGCACGCGACGCATCTAATCCCGTAAACCACGCAGCCTGTTTGATCCTGGTGTGGTTCTAGAGATTAAGCGGGCGTAGCGAGCGTGCTATGGCGAAGTTGGCATGGTATGGAAGCTTTGTACTGCCACATACTGGGAGTCTACACTGGGCTCTTCTGCCGAGTTCGCGAGAACGAACGATGTTCGCTCATCTCGCAATAAGGACAAATATTTATGGCGAAACGCACTTTCCAGCAAGGACATGTTACACTAGCGAAAGAAAGGGGTTTTTGTTGAAGGTTTGCGTGTGCCAGTGGTCCCCCAAAGCTGAGGAGAGCACGTGGCGGGAGTGACGTGGCGAAAGGTTTGTTTGGGCCGTGCACTCATCTGATGCAAGCAACACGTTTCTTCCGAAAGAACATGCTGGAATTCTGGAAGGTGGGGCCGGAACGGCGGGAGCCACAGAAAGTCTCATGGTTGGCAAATAACAAAGATGCTACACAAAAGACTTAGAACCTAGATTTAGTTAGTCTTATAAACAAACGTACCTCGATTTGAATTTGCTCACTGACGAGTACATGCGTGCCGCTACTGAAATGCCAACACCTTGATGAAATCTTCCCCAAGAAGCGGGAAAATCGCAGGGCACGCGGCAGCCGCCATAGATTTTTCTTCCCACTTCCCATCCCATCATTTCTGCTCTACTGAAGTACGTCGCTTCTCTTCTTTTTCGCCTGTTCCTTGCTTCTATTCCGTGAATCGCTTTGATTCTGTTCCGCCATTAACTTGGCCGTTGCCTCTGCATTCCCGTACCTCCATTATCCAATACCTCACCATAAGGCTTTTAACACCGTGCACCGTTCCGCGTCGCACACATGGCGACGTCTAGATGCACTGCGCCATTCACGGCGCTCCCCCGTCGCATCGCGTCTCCCGCGGGCGTTTTCCTCTCGCTCATCGCTCCTTGCGTTGATCAGCGTCGCCGCGGCCTCCGATTTTCGTCCGTACCGCTGTGCGCGCGCTCACATACGCCGGTCCTTCGAGCACGATACACAG